ATGTAAAAAAAAAGTACTATGACTGCTTAGGGAAGAAAATAAAACATTTCTTCTTCAATAATTTCAAAACAAGTAAGACTATTGAAAAGTGACAGTTGAAGCATTTTCTTGCCATTTACCAACTTGCTTGATGCTTCCAAATTTAGTACTGTCAGTTATCTTGTTAAAAATCATTTTAAAGAAAAAAACAAAAACCAAAACTAAATTTAAAAGTAAACAACAAAATCACACTACATTGCATATAAAGAAAATTTGGAGAAGGGGTGGGTGGGGGTTAGTTTTTAAATAAATAATTACATTTTTGACTCTATCTATCTATCAAAGTCAGGTGGTCATAGAAAAAATAATGCATCACTGGCTTTAGAGAAAATTAGAATAGCAGGAAAATAGCAAGAGAATTAAGTCAAGGGCAAACAAGTGGCAAGGGAGCAGTGGAGCTAATAGGCAATTGAAGTAGACCAAGCAACAGCTCTATCAGGAGGCTGCTTATACACTGAATCTGCCCATCCAAGAAAAGGCAAAAAAATTCTGTCAGACACTTGCTCTAACAAATGGTGCTTTTTCAGTTTGCAAGTTATGCTGATAAAAATGACAAAAAAAGATATTGGATAATAAAGAGACTTCTTTGTGGTGTTTATTAGCAGTGTTTTATGCAAATTAGCCTAAGTAAAAAGCTATCATTTCTATGTAGAATTGAATATAATAGTACGCATATACATTCACACACAAAAATCGTGTTTAATGATAAATGCTTATTGCTTTTAATAAATACTTTGTACATTAGCCTAAAGAAAGCTAGAAACTATTTAACAAATTACTTTATATTGAAGAAAAAAATCCTTTTAAAAACTAGCATTTTGCATTAGGAAAATGCTTGCATTGCTAGATCTTTTAGCAATGGGATTGAAAAATAACTATAAAAGTAATTCACTTTTAAGGGTGTCTGTTTTGGCAGTGGCACATTCATTCAATCCATTTTAGCTACCTTTTAGCAGAGCTATGTTTTTATTCTCCATTTTTATTTTTTGATAGATACTGAAAGAAAAAAAGTCTATATATTCATAAAACAAAGTCTCTATACGTTTATTCCCTCCATATACTTATAAAAAGCTTTCCTTCTATCGCAATAGAATGATCATATGAATTGTTCTTGAATTATGAGTTCTGTACTTAATAAACATTTTAGTGAGACTTCCACATATTAAAGTCATTTGAACCTTTAAGAAAAAATATTTTTGAAAATTGTTATAAAATATTTTAATTTCTAGAAAATTCACAATATTTATTATGACAAAGGTATATTTTTTATCTGAAGTAAACTGGAACCAATCTATAAGTGACTTCCTTCCTATTATTAAGTGTTCTTTGGGAAGAAAGGTAAACAGAAATAATTCAAATAGATTTCAGTCATTATTTAAAAGTGTAAAGTATGATGAAACTAATTTACCTTTATCTATCTATCTATCTATCTATCTATCTATCTATCTATCTATCTATCTATCTATCTATCTATCTATCTAATCTGGAATATGAAGCAAAAGGTTAATTTCTTAATTAAGTAATGCCATTTTTTCTTATTTAAGATCATTTGTAATCCAATAATAGAAGCTATTATTATATAACCCTCTTATTTTTTATAAAGTAATTATGATTTAAAAAAGAGTTTTCTTTGTATTTTTCTGTCTGTTCTTAATAAAAAGAAAACTGCAAGTATGTACTAGCCTGAATTGATTAAGATTATGACTTTATGGATCAGGGGTGTCAAACTTGATTTCATTGAGGGCCATATCAGGGTTGTCTGACCTTGGGGGTAAATGTGCGTGGCCAGGGTGGGCATGGCCAGCTTGATTTCACTCATGTTGGGTGTGACTGTGGTGGCCCAAGCACTCTGCCAGTGAAAACTGGTTCCAGAGCTTCATTTTCAGCTATGACAGCCTCCTGCCACCCTTGCCAGTGAAATGGAGTTTCATTTTCACTGGCCGAGAGTGGCAGGAGGCTATCGCAGATGAAAATGGAACCTGGGAGGGCTGCACACGGCCCTCCCAAGCTTCTTTTTCACTGGCAGAAGCATTGGGCCAGTCCTTTGCTGTTTCTAGGGAGGCCCTGCAGGCCAGATCTAAAAGCCTTAAGTTTGACACCCTTGCTATAGATTATTAATACAGATGTCTGCCACATTGGGCTCATCTCTTGAGTAATGGTTTACATTTGGCAGTAATATTTCTTTAAAAACATATAGAGTCTCCCTTCCTATGCTGATATTTCCCAGGGCTACACTCTGTGATATTGGACACAGCATATAGCTTTTATGTTTGGGAGTCATTTAACATCTATCTTGCATGAATTTATCAAACTTAAAAAAAAAGTCTAAACAGACTCATTATTGTGACTTGTAATAACAAGTCCTACATATATTTTAACTATTAGATATATTGAAATTTATATATTTATGATAACTGCTTTCCCATAACTAGAATAATCATTATTATAAAATGACATCATTCTACTACCAGTATTATGAAAAAACACTCTCTATTCAGCTTTCTCAATACATATTTTATGCCAAGTACTCAACTTCTTCTAATCTAAAATCCACTTAAATTGCAATAGATATAATTTTGTAGAGCATGTAGGACAAGCCTATTTTTAAAATCATGTCATCATTCAGTTGTGTTTCCTGACAAGTAAAAGTTAAATATATAAAAGTGGCTGAAATTGCCAGGACGTATGAAGAAAAAAATATATAGTTTAACCCAGCTTGCTCTTGCATTTCCTCAACAACATCTTTAGAACAGTATAGAACTAGGGATAAACTGAAAGAGGTGGTTTTTTTTACCCGTATGCATCTTCATTATCTCCAACAGTAGAAAATGATATGATATATTATGGGTAATATATTCTATGGCATGAGTTCAGTCAAATATAATAATTTTGAGAAACTGAGTTCAGCCATTTTAAATGTAATGGATATTAATGGAGATAAGAAAATAGTAGACTACATATATACATGCATATAAAATGAAAGGCTCAAATTGTTGAGTCCAGTAATGCAGATTTTAACATACTACTACTGAATACTACTGAACATACTACTGAATAGGATTCAAATTATTTCATAAAAAAAAATCAGAGCGTAATAGTATTCATGAAAATTGTCAGACAAAGTATGCAAGATTTTTAAGTAGAATGATCCTTTATCCTTAATTATGCTTAAACAAAACATTAAAACAGTTTTACAGCTAGCTACCTTATAAAGTGATTTAAAAAATAGATTCACCTGCAAAGTGTTGAAAGAATAAAAAACATTTTCTTCCTTTACATCTAGTATGTAATTGTTACAAATAGCAAAACAGAAAAGGTAGCATACGAAATTAGAATGATTACATCTAATCAAAATTTGAAAATACCAGAAACAAAAACAGTTCAACTTTAAGTTTAGGATTAAATATTTTTTGTAATGTTCAGTTGAGAAGATAAATTCAAATTTGAGTGACCTTAATTCATCTGAAAAGTTAATATTTAAAGTAATTCTATTTGTTACCTAGACTGCTTCAAGTATTCTTTTGAGCTGTAAGAGGTATTACTGGTGATATCATAATGTTAATGTAACCAATATAAACCACAGGTTAATCACTGGTTCTATATTAAGAGTGTCTTGCCTCCTCTTTAATTGCCTAATACCTGCTAAATCAGGGGATGGGAACTTGGTTTGGGGGAGGGATTTATTTATTTACATGTTTGTGGTATCTGAAAGTTGGGGTTGAGTAACATAATTGCTCCTTAAATATTCCAGAGATGTAAGGTAGCCAATTTATTCTTTTAACCCTTACACTTTAAACTTTTAAAAATATGAAAAAAACCTGTGTATGTGGGGCTGTAGTTTGGAAAGGGTTACGGAAAACTACTCTGGGAATAATAAATAAATTCCTTTGGTAAATTGGAACAAATCTATATGTACTTGGGATGAAGCTGATGAAACTAAAGTGTTCTTAATCTAAGTCTCCACAAAAAAATTTCTAAGCTACAACTGGTAGTACTGCTGCAGAAGTTATGAAGATTGTTGTCACTAATACAACACTTCATAGTGAGGAATGGTGGTAAGGTAGCTACTGGATTAAGTGATAAGTCTGTCCTCATCCTTGTGATCATACCATCATTAGTTATCTCACTAACAGCAACTTAAGGCAGTAGCCAGATCTTGGGAGACAAATACTTTTAAAATTTGCTTCATCAAATCTGTGCTTGTCCTGAGATGCCTGGCAAAATTTTAAGAGCTGAGTTAGCTAATCAACAGTTATAAAAAATCCTTTTTTTTTTTCCAGAAAAGTCGAGTTTTGCCTCAACACCTAACAATCAACTTCTCCATATTCAAGAAAGGGTATAGTTATTTCTTGCCACCTCCTTTCTTGGAGCACAAAACTCAGCCTGTCTTATTTATATTTTATTCCATACAGCCATTATCACAGCAATTTTCTTCACATTCCTGAAACAAAAAAAGTGATATGCACTTAGAAAAATAAATTGAAAACCTTTCCAATGGTTTCTGAGAAATTTGGTGATAACCATCTAACAGACAAGTTTTCCTGTAAGTTCACTCCATCTGAGCAGGAAAAAAAATAGAGCTACTATTTTTTTTCCTAGGCTAAATGGTGGAAATTCAGCTCTGTCTTTCAAAATTTAAAGAAATTAACTGCAGCACAAATTCTAAAATTACTGATCTGTGCTCTTTCTATCTTAGCATAAATATAAATGCACTTATTCTTCTTACATAGTAGTAATTCTGTAGGATTTCCAATTGATGTCAAAGTCAGGAGATGAATGTCAGAATGGAAAGTATGAAATAAGAGTTTTAAAATCAGAAATGCTGAAACGTTTCTGATACTTATACAAAATATATTCACTATGGTTGCTTTACTTGTAAATTGCTTAGGCTTTTCTGCAATCTATTTGATCTATCTATGCAATCTATTTGATCTATCTTCTCTCTCAAAAAGAAAACTCACTTGTTTGATGCGGTCCGGATTGACGGTTGTCTGAGGCTGCAGAATACTAACTGGTTCTGTCTTGGCCACATTTTGAGGCATTTCTCGTATCTTTTCAGCAATGAAGCCATGAACAGCATTTAGTGCTTCCACTGTTCCCTGGATCAAACACACCCGCTCTGTCGTACCTTCAGAAACAAATAAAATACATTTTGTTGTCTTGCTTTTAAAATATTAAGTATGTGCAGGAATTAATCAGACTATATAGCCTAACTAATTTGAACAGAATAACCATTTCATGAAAAGATCATACTGTGAAGCACAATGACTAGAATATGAGAACTTAATGCACAAGAATGGAGAATGGGCTTTTTTTTTTCTTTTTCAATATTTTTGGAGGGATGAGTGTATTAATGTGTATATATTTAGATAAATATTGCCCATCTCTGTGTTGTGCCCCAGTTACACCCCTCCCTAGACAGGAAGGCCTTCTATTTGGTCACTTATACCCTGGTCATCTCTCAATTGGACTATTGCAATGTGGGTCATAGTAGGTGCCCCAAAAAGGACACATGTAACACCTCCGCGAAATGCATTGGGTGCCACTTTGCTTCCAGGTACAATTCAAGGATTCAGTCAACACCTATAGGGCCAGGCTATCGCAGAACTGGCTTTGCCCCACCACATCAGTCTATCCCATTTGTTCAGGCAGGGCAGGTATGCTGCAGATCCCATCAGCCAAAGAATTTTGACTGGTGGCATCTAAGAGGATGGCCTTCTCTGCTGCTGCTCCTGTATTGTGGAGCACCCTGCCCTCAGAGGGGAGGAAAGCTCCCAATCTTTTGGCCTTGCCCAAAGGGGTCAAAATCTGCCTATGCAGCATTGCATGAAGAACATAGAGACCCATACAAATGTGGGACTGATTGGCTACATAGGAACACTTCCCTGCTTGCATTAACAACTGCTAACAACTCATTTTTGATTTTTTTGAATTTTATGTTATTTTTATAATTTTAATTTTTTTATTTTAATGTTAATTTTATTGATTAAATTGTGCACCACTCAGAGTCCCACTGAAGGAGATGTGTGGTTAAGAAATACAATAGATAGATACATGATAGATAGATGATGATGATGATGATGATGATGATGATGATGATAGATAGATGATAGATAGATAGATAGATAGATAGATAGATAGATAGATAGATAGATGTAAATAAAATGAAGATACCTAGAATTGCTTAAGGTTCACATTGACTAGTTCACTTTGTTCAGCAGTAGTGGCTTCTCTGTATGTACAACACATGCAGATGGGGCCTGCCTTGAGCACCTCTGTGAGAAACTTTGTTGTATGTAGTGTGATATGCCTCCATTAAATGAATCAATCCTCAGAATCTTTCTTTCAAAATGTAAGTATGTTTACTTATACTCTAAGGAATATAAAGGACTATTTTAGGCTAAAAGCAATGTCAGTTAGGCTGAGAGACTATAACTTGTCCAAAAGCATCTGAACTACAATTTCAAATAGCATTAGCACTTAGACTTATATTCAGCTTCACAGTTCTTTTACAGCCCTCTCTAAGCTCTTTACAGAATCAGCATATTGTCCCCAACAATATGGATCCTCCTTTTACCCATCTCAGAAGGATGGAAGGCTGAGTCAACCTTGAGTCTGGTGAGATTTGATCTGCCAAATTGTAGGCAGCGGCAGTGAGCAGAAATAGCCTGTAGTACTGCATTCTAACCCCTGCGCCACCGCAACTCATACTGAAACATAGTGCTCTAAACTGATCTATAAACATTTCCCAAATTCTATTAATACCAGTCTTAGAATTTTCATGTTTCAATACCAAGTAGGACTGAAAAGCTAGAATAAACATGGATTAAGGTAGACAAAACTAACATAGCCTCGCAGAAGGCAACAAATATTTACCTGGATACAAGAACAATCAACCTCAATGATACTATGAAAGGATGTATAAGCTTCTGATTGAGAAAATCAGAAAATCAGATTTCTAGTTTTTCTGTGCGTGTGAAGGAATGATTTTATAATGATTTACCATAATTTTATTTTAATAAACTTTACTCCTCTTGGTCAATTTTATACTTTCTAGAAAACAGTAAGGCTGATATGAGCCCTCCCAGTAAGTCAGACAACTAGAATTACAACTAGATAAGCTAATTCTATAGAATCTAGCACATCTGAAGGTACAAGCTTCCTGCCACCACTTTTAACCTCCTGAACGCTTAGGTAGGTCCTAATAAATTATTTTCATTTTTTAAAATTATAGATAACAAGATATAATTTAATAACTGAAAATACACCTCTAGTTATTATGGATACATAGGTAAATGTATTCTTTTCTTTACTATAGCATGTTACCTATAGGAATAGAGAGACTGAATTATAAAATCTGTATTGACTGTAGTAGAACAATATGTAATTTAAAATAGAATTATTTCTTGAAAGATGGTTTCAGCAATCTCTACTAAACTGTGAGATATGTTTGCTTGTGTTTGTGTGTGTACACACACATACACACATACGTGTGTAATTGTTATCTAAACTATTTCAAAATCTAGAATATATTTTGCAGAAAACACAACTATTGATATATAAATTAACTTGATCTATGGATGCAATTTTCTTGTGGTTTATTTCATTTTCTCTCCCTCTCTCCCTTGTTATCTTTACTCTCTACAAGCTCTCTTTCCGAGTAGAACTCCTGTGGTTCCTGCATTAAGTGCTCTATTTCTGAACAAGTACACTAGGGAGTCTTTACATGAAGTATTAATTGTCTACTATATAAGAAGCATTGTGGATTGATCAATGTAGCTAATGCAAGTGCTCTTTCTTGATCAGCAGACAAAACATTCATATGAAAAACAGCTATCAGTTTACATTGATGATATTGGAAACTAACATAAACAGCACTTAAACTGATGAACACTATGAATAGTATCAAAACAACAGAAATGAAAGAGCCCAAATAGAAATTTCATTAAGCTGGCATTCAAATCAAACTTTTCTGCACTGCAAAGTTTCTGCTTAGAATTCTGAATATTAGGGTTTTTTTTAATAACAAAAATACAACATAAAAGTAAAATATACTCACATTATAATGCAATATTGTGAGCCTAAAGAAATTTCTCCCCTGTCCACCATGTGCATAATGCAGTGTAATGTGTACTCTCCATAATTCTGGCCCAGTTTACATCCATGAGGCACCAATATTCCTGGTATACCAAAGGTGCCTGCCAAACTCTTTGCTCATCCTATTTTTTTTTAACAATTCTTTTAATTGAAAAATTACAACGAAGGAGCTAATTTGAGTGCAAAGCAAAGAATCAGCTGCATAATTCCTATTTCCAACAATGGCCTTGATTTTTATAAACTCCAGAGGTATTCTATTACTGAATCCTAGTGCTTTGGTTAGATTCAGGTGGTAGAAAGAATACTGGGAAAACAGAGAAAGAGGGAGATTGCAACAACATCAGTTTATATCCTAATAAATGAGATATTTGTGACTATCCTAGCTGATTACAAATCACAAACATCATGGCAACTGCTTTGCCTAGCAATAATATTCTCTTAACGTACACAATTCAAAGTGATTGGTGATCCTTCCCAAACATGGGTATTTTATTTGATTTACTCTAAAGAAGGGCAAGTACAGTTTATTCTCGATTTACAACATTTGTTTAAAGTTACAATGGCACTGAAAAAAGTAACATATGCCCAGTCCTCACACTTAATGATATTGCAGCCTTTCCATGGTCACATGATCAAAATCCATGTATTTGGCAACTAGCATGTATTTACAACAGTCAGAGCATCCTGTGGGCCATGCGATTACCATTTGTAAATTTCCCAGCTGGCTTCCAAAAAGCAAAGACAGTGGGGAAAGTTTGATAGGCTTAATAATCGCAGTGATTCACTTGACATTGTTAAGCAACTCACTTAACAACAGCTTTGCTTAGCAATGGAAATTCTGATCCCAATCATGGTCATATGTTGAGAACTTGTACTATATCTCACTAAATAGACTTCACATATACAATACTCTACACGGTCATTACAACTCCCCCCTCCCCTAGCTATGAAGACTGCTATCACTTTACAAATCAGTCTTTATAAATGTTGGGGAAATGTAAGCTCTATATGCTCAGAGCATTGAAGTTATTCTTAAGTTCTACTGCAACCCAGTGCCAGTAAAAATGGAGCTCGGGAGGGCCACATAAGACCCTTCGAAGCTGTTTTTGCTGGCTGAGGCAACTCTGGAAAGTCTTTTGCTGTTTCCAGGGGGTCCTGTGGGCCAGATCTAAGCACCCTGCAGGCCAGATCTGGCCCCTGGGCCTTGAGTTTGACATCCCTGGCCTATAGCAAGGATGAGGCCATCTTTGTTTGGGATATATTGTTGCCTAAATTAAAACAGTTCTTGGTATTAGCAAATTTCTTTTAAAGTTGAATCTGAATTATCTTTCTTTTTTTAATTTCAACCCATTGGTTTTCCAGACCATGCTTTCAATTTCATTTTTTGTCTTTTTCTTGATTTCAACGTAGAACAGGTTCAACTACTGCTATTGACAACTTACCTATACTGTGTTTTCCCGAAAATACGACCTGTCCTGAAACTAAAGCCTTGCCACATTTTTCGTGTGGGCAAAAATATACGCTCACCCCTGAAAATAAGCCCCCTGGACAATCCCCCCCTCCGGCCAACCAGAGCACCGCTCACTAACCTAGTGACATCCCAAAGGCGCCAAGCTGCGGGAATGAGGTGGGGGGCTTTCGGAGTACCGCTAGGTCGGTCAGCGGCACTGTGCCCAGCTGAAGAGGAGAGGTTGCCTGGCAGCTGCTCTCTTGCAAATACATTCATTCTAGTCGGGGCCGGACTTCAACAGTGAGGTCAACAGCTCCAGACCTGCCGGAACAGCCAGATTTTTATGGCTTTCCTGAAGGCCATCAGAGTGGGTAAGGTACGGATTTCCGCAGGGAGCTAGTTCCAACGAGTCGGAGCAGTCACCGAGAAGGCTCTCCTCCGAGGGCCCGCCAGCCGACATTGTTTGGCAAACGGCATCTGAAGGAGGCCCAATCTATGTGATCTTACTGGCTGCTGAGAGGTATGTGTCAGCAGGCGGTCTCGAAGGTATCCTGGCCCTAAGCCATGTAGGGCTTTAAAGG